CCTGGGAGATCAATCAGCATGGTAGCTGTCTGGCCTTGTTAAAATGTAACCTTGTTCAGTAATCTCATCTAGATAGGCTTTAGAGAAGCAGAACTTGCTGTTTACATATACTTTGCATTATTTACTGCACCAGACCTATGACTCTTTTAGCAGGAAACAGGAAAGATTTCATTTGCTTAGTGGTTCCCTTTCACTTGTATTCAAATTCTGTTGATCAGCATTTCAAGGCTCCAAAATTCACTAGATATTTTTTCACTAGTTTATTTTTCATGCTCTTCTGAAGCCATTATTTTGGAAGACTACCAAAGTAAAATGAAAAGATTTTACTCTTGTTACTAGAGGTTATTTGCTCTGGTTGTTAATTCGTTTAAAATACTGTTTTCACAAGAAAGTTAGGAATTTCAGTGAAATTCCAAAGAATTACAAGGAAGAAAAAATTATATTATTGTAATTTAAAAACATCAGAGAGAAAGCAACAGAATTTTACATTGCAGAGAAGTTCTAGAATTTAGACTAAGTTAAAAAATTAAATATTTTGGAAAACATAAAAAGAAATCGATGTTTATTAATTTTTAGTTGTATCTTTATCATTCCTTTTAGCATATTTGACTTACATTTCTCTTATTACAAACTAATTCCAGATATTTCACCTCTTTTTTTTTTTTTTGGTTTAGTTTGTACAAGCTGAATGGGTCCTTTGTAATAATACCTTTGTAGCTGAAAGTTTGAGTATAATGTTCTCAATTAAAGTAGTCACTTCTCTTGATAAATCACCTGTTTATAGAGAAATCTATTATTTCCTGTAACTTGTTATTTGCTTATTTTTACATAAAGCTTTGTCATGGTAATAGACAAAAAGAAGAATCTATATATAGGTGTTCCTTGGTAATTTATTTTATGAAGTGTTATTATAAGTGCTGTGTTAGAAGGTAATTTCAAAAAGATTATACTTTAGCTTTAAATATTTCATTTAACCTACAGCTACTATAGAAGCAAATACTTCTGATTGATGTAGTTCTGAAGCATAATGTTAACTATCTTAGTCACTGATGTACTTAGTGAATGACATCACTTCATATGACCCTAAGATGACACTAATGCTTTACTTGCTGCTAGAACACAACTGCTGTGAATATGTAAGTCTCCCCTGAGATGCAACTGTGAATGCATAGTTTAAAAATAGAAAATATTTAAATTATTCCATAGTTTTAAATTTATTTTCTATGACCTGCCTCTAATGCCATAAAATTTTGGTACCGTATGACATAAGTAAAAATTAAAAAATATTTTCTATTGGCTGAACTTTAATGAAATTTTGAATAATTCAGAGTTATGTATACTTATTTTTCTTTTAAGACAATATTATAAACTATTTGAGTCAATAGTGAAAAGCAAATATTCTTAATAAATAAAATTGAGCTTAGCATAAACCATTTATAAATAAAAATGATCACTTTTTTCTTTCCGTTCTTCTACATAAATCTAAACAGAACTGAAAAACAGTAGTAAAAGTCACCTCATTCACATGACTTCAGAAACCTGTAAATTACTTGTTTTGTGAGTAGGAAAGCTGAGCATATTGGGAGACAATCCTTGCAACATTGTTATCTTTTTCTTGACATAATAGAGCCTCTATTGTGACCCTTTGTAACTACAGATATGTAACTTTGGTTACCAGTTGTTTTGCCTAATCTCTCTGTGCAATCAGACTGCTAAAAGCAGATTAAGAAACACTAATGTTTATTTTCTACCATTTTCTTCCTTTGTGTTACTCACATTTGTTCATATGCACATTGACACCATTTACTCCGTGAATGGTGAGGCAATAAAGCATGGACAAGGCAATAAAGCATGGACCTTGCCTTCATGAATTTTATAGTTTAGTTTTATATGTCATTCTCTTTTCTGAATGTGTAAAGCAAAATTATTTTTCTGTGTAGACTTAAATTCTATATCTTTAAAAATTAGTTTTAGATTTCTTTGTAATGAAAGAATGCCTTTCTGGTATGATCTAAAGTTCCAAATGTACGGAATTTTGTAGATTCTTTTGGAAGAGAGTTGAGTGTATGAGTGAGAGGTGTTTCAGAGGAATTCTGTTTTAGCCTCTCTCATCAGGAGTTAAGCTTAGAACAGAAGTGTTTGTCAAGAGAGTTACAAAGATTTTTAGTAGAAAGCAGAGTTTTGTATTTATAAAAAATAGTGGTCATTCATTTATATTTATACTGTTTTGCCTTTTTCTCCCTGAAATATTTCAGTGATGTAATAAAACAGTGATATGAAACATTCACTAATTTCCATTATTTAACTGTATTGTAAGGAATAAAGCACAAAAATGATATTCATTTCTGTTCATAGACTGTACCCAGTTATTTCATTTATATTCTTTATAACTGAATCTCTGAGGAAAATTTTTGTTTACAAATAAGTTTTTTATATTATAGTTTTACACAATACAACTAAAAAAAGGGAGAAAGGCTTCAGAAATTTAAATGCTCATCTGATATCTGTGCTTCTTGACATAGTATTTTTCTTTAAAATATTTGAGAAGTATGACATTTGATTTTGACAGCTTTATTGAGGTATAATTTACATACCATGAAGTTTATCCTTTTTATTTTTTCATTTTTATTTTTTATTTTAAAGATTTATTTTTATTTATACAAGAACAGGGGTACAGGCCAGAGGGGCGGGAGGGTGAGAGGATCCACCAAAGACAGTGGGGAACAGAACAGGCAGACTGATTGAAATACACTGCTGAGGGGAGCAGTGGAAGAGATGGGAAAGGTCTGCTATACCATGTGGGTAGCTCCCTGGCCGACCGGGAATCGAACCCGCACTGCAGATGCTGATGACAGCTTCACAGTGCTTTGCTAAACCTGCTGTACCACCCGGGAGGCCCAGTTTATCCTTTTTAAAGGATAAAAACAAATCAGTGGTTTTGTTACCAGGCGGGGTAAATGGTACCCTAAGACTCCCAAACCTGCTCACTCTGAATAGGTTCTGCCACCCACCACTTCAAGAGAAACATACCCTAGTGTGTAAGACGTAATAGAAAGGAACTTTAATATAATTAGTGTGCAATAAAAAGAAGCGAAGGCAAAGAAAAAATAGTTTTCACATAAAACATCTGGTTACCCATCCTCTCATGGGTAAATGCCCAACCAAACAGGGTTGGCCCACTTGGGACACAGAGGCCAGAAAACCTGCTACAAGTCTAAGGCACCTTCTTGTGGGGACCCACAGGAAAGGGCTAGAGGGGCCCAGAATGTCTGGAGTGAAAGGAGCAAAATCAAAATCAAGATAAAAGTTGCCATTGTTAATCTCCCCATGGATCTCACCCATGTCTGTTTCCCTTGTCTCCTTCCACATTCCCCAAGTCCTTGGTACAAGTCCCAGGCTGAAAAGCAAGCACAACTTCATGTGTCTGTCTGCTCCATGTGCCTCCTCCAGGTCTCTTTCTTGCTCTGTATCTCTTCTCTTTCCTTCTTTCCAGTGTCTAATCCCTGCTTAGCTCCATCCTTCCTTGATTGAGGCAGGGAACCTGGAATCTCCCCTTTCCCTGGGCACGACACACAGTTTCTAGTGTATTTATGAGTTGTGAGGCCATTGCTGTTGTCATCACCTTAAATGAAATTTGATTTTTGAACTCTGTATAGAGAAACTACTCAAAATTGTGTTTTTTTTTCTTTCTTTTTTTTAAAGATGTATTTATTTATGCATACCAGAACTGGGGTACAGGCCAGCGGTGTTGGGGGGTGAGAGGATTCACCAGAGACAGAGTGGGGAACAGAACAGGCAGAGGGGAACAGAACTGCTGAGGGGAACAGGGGCCGAAACAGGAGTGGTCTGCTGTGCCATGTGGGTCACCTCCCTGGCCAGGGATTTAACTGGTACTGCAGTGGCTGTGGATAGCTTCATAGTGCTGAGACTTAACCCCTTGTACCACCAGGGAGGCCCCCCAAATTATGTTTTTCTTAAAAATCTAGCATCCAGTTCCTATTTAGGATGATGAGAAACTTCTGGAAATGGATAGTGGTGATAGTTGTGCAACATTGTGAGCTTTTGTGATGCCACTGAATTGAATGGTAAATAATGGTAAATTTTGTGTTGTATATCTTATCACAGTGAAAATTAGAATTTATTTATATGAAATTTGAATTGGTACTGTACTTGAAAAGTTTTTGGAAATTTTGACCTGAGCCATGCATGGCTCTAATAATATTTTTTCCTTCAAATGTTATTATTAATTTCTACAGACTGAGAAATAGAAATATGAAGACTGTAGGTATTTGTTTTTATTTGTAGAATTTAATTTGTGGAATTAAGTGAAGAGAGAAAATTATTAATTCCTCTTTGTTTTAATTTTGTTGTCCTTGAAAAAGCAAGATGCCAAACATTTTTTGTAAAGAGGGAGTAAATACATATAACATACACACATAATAATAAAGTATCTGTTATAAAAAGTCTGGAAGGAGATTTAATCAGTCATATTGGTGGTTCTGCATAGGAGAACTGGGTGACTGGGGTTCATGGATAGTCCATTATGTGACTGTTAACTAAGAAAACATTTTAAAGAAAAAATTTGTTGTCCTAATTCAGTCTCAGAATCAGCATGGTGGGCCGCCCATGGTGGTGCAGCGGTTGAGCGCTGGGCTGCAAAGCTGCCTGCAGCCTCTGCAGTGTCCGTTCGATCCCCGGCTGCTGGCGAGGGGCCCACATAGTGCACAGACCTTTCCTGCTGTGCCCGCTGCTCCCCTCAGCAGTGTATTTCGTCAGTCTGCCTGTTCTGCTATCTGTTCTGGCTCTGGTGAATTCTCTCACCCTCCCACACTTCTGACTGTACCCAGTGCTTGTATAAATAAATAAATAAATATTAAAAAGGAAAAAAGAGAAAAAAAAACAGCATGGCTGTGTTCCTTCTTACTGTGCTTCATTATCGGAGATTGTATTGAAGTTGAGATTGGTTTGAAAATTAAGAAGTAATTTTGTTTTCTTTCTAGGAATTGATTATGGATTAAGTTTACCACTCGGGGAAGACTATGAACGAAAGAAACATAAATTAAAAGAAGAATTACGGCAAGATTATAGACGCTATCTTACTCAGGTAATGATTTCTATTTATTTTTTATGTCTTATATTTCAGTATTCATCACCTAAATTTGTTTTCCTAGGGTTTTAGTAATATGAGCTGAAGTTTAGGTTTTCATTAATCATTAAATATTTAATCACTAAAGTTTTGCTTTATTATTTTTTTCGCAGAACCTTTTTTAAAGTATATTTTGTTAAATTATATAATAGCTAAATTAAGATTTACTGTATGTTTAAAATGCAGTTTATTTGCATTTATGGTTTATAAAATTACAATTATGCTATTTTTAGTGATCCCACATTATTTTTGGTAATGTTTTATAATATTTGTTCTAAATGTTTAAATAATCTCTATTTATTCTAATTTACACATGGAGAGAGGACTTGAATACATTTCTCAATGATTTGTTTCCCTTGACTTTAGGGTATTACACAAGCAAAACGAAAGGTAGGGTTGCTTGCAAAATATTCTCTTTTAGCTTTATTATTATTATTTTCAGATCAATAGCTTATAATCATTTGCATTGAGATATTGCTGCTCTCAAACCAATAAGAAAAATAGCTTCATTTGTGATTTTGAGATTTTTGAATGGTAGTGTTTTGTATCTCTGCTGTTAGCTAGTTGACAGTCTTTATATTCTGATTTTCCATTAACACAGTCAAGCATCATTTTTGATTCTTGCTTTGCATTTGTTTTTGTTGCTTTTTTATGTATCCTTTATAGATATTCTCCAGCTATTCTAAGTCCTTTTTTTTTTTAGCATGCTGGTTTTTGGTCTTCAAATTTTTGCTAATTACAATTTGATTAATAAAATAATGATATTCTGAACGATGTGTTATCAGAATTTGAGTTACTCACTATATTATATGCACCAAAACCTGTGGATTGCATTTGTAAATTTATGTTGGAAAACAAAGAGCAAGTTTTAAGTTTTACAAAACTGTTTTTAAAAAGAGTCTCACAGATTTCATTCATCATTCAGGCAACACTTTTACAGTCTTAATATGAAGATGAATCAGGTATGAATCCTGTCTTTAAGGAGCTTAGGGTCTAGTTGTATAGTTAGCATTCATACAATTTAGAAAGTGATAACTCTAATAAGAAGGATATAATGATCAGGAAAATGATCAGGCCCTAAGGTGTTATTTTGTAAGGCATTATGGAATAGGTAGAATTTGTATAGTCTGGTGGATTAGCTGAGAAAAGGAAGGTTTTCAGATGGAGATTATAGGATGAAGTGGGACTTGTAGGGTAGGTGAATTTAAGCTTTGTTGTGAATGAGGCATATTAAGTTTATCAGTTTCAGTGGGTTAGAGGAGATTCTTTTTGAGAGTGGTAAGAAAGAATGATATAGATAAAAAGGATAGGATCAGATTAGAAGGCAGTAGATTTTTAAATATATTTTATTGAGTTAATATTGGTTCACATTGTCATTTCCATAATTCCTTTCAGGCACTGTTGTCATAATGCACCCACCACCAAGGAACCTTTAGTCTACCAGGTAGACTATTGTGTGTGTACCTTCCCTTCTTTGAAAACTTGATATGTGCAGTAGGCAGTGGTGAAACATACATCCTTAATCAGACTCTGAGAACTGTGTTTTAGGACACTTCTATATGTCAGACTCTTATCTTACTGTCTTATCTTACTATCTACTGTCAGACTCTTATCTTACTGCTACAGCTTTTTAACTAATCTGCTAATTCTCAGTCCAGTTTGTAACCAGGGCCTCCCTGATGGTCCAAGGGGTTAAGTCACAGCACTATGAAGCTACCCGCAGCCACTGCAGCACCAGTTCAATCCCCAGCTAGGGAGGTGACCCACATGGCAAAGCAGACTTCTCCTGTCTTGCCCACTGCTCCCCTCAGCAGTGTATTTCAGTCAGTCTGCCTGTTCTGCTTCCCACTCTGTCTCTGATGAATCCTTTCATCCCCTGCATCTCTGGCCTGCACCCTGGCTCTTGTATGCATAAATAAATAAATCTTAAAAAAAAAATCATGAACTGTGTATTTCCATCCATGTTGGTAGCAGAATCAAATAGGAACAAGGTTGTGGTTCCTATTGCTGGAATATAAATGTTATAAGAAAACTCCAATTCTAGGGATGTCATATCACTTTTCCTCCACTTTCTCATTACAATCTTCAGGCTTCTTCCAGTTTTTCGTGAATGCTTGCTCCATTTTCAAGGTTAAATACAATTATATAAGGAGTGTTTTCTGAATGTCCCTTATGTGGCAAAGCAGTGTGTTGGGACTAGGGGTGAGCAATGAAAAAGACAGTGATCCATTGCCAGCTAGAATTCATAGCTTTGCACATGTTTCCTCAGTGGTGATTTAAGAGCCTGTGAATTTGGAAGGTGACCAGAAACCTCACCAGAAACCTGACCATAGTGGGCTATTGCTAGTTAAAAATATATTATTTAAAAAAAAATTCTCTTTAAAATTGAACAGTTTGGAAGTGCCCAAGTGCTTATAGTATGTATCTGTTCCACAGTTGGCAGCTCTCAGCATGAGTGCATCACCAGGCAGCTTAATTTTTAGTTACCAGCGTGATTTTCCTGACTATTATGCTTTAGACTTTGCAACTTTTATTTATTTGCAGATTTATTTATTTAATTAATTGCCGTGTCTGTGGCATTTATTTATTTATTTGTATATATATTTTTTCCTTCCACCAAACCACCTGTGCCTATACCCCATCTTTCTCACTCCCCTAACCTCTTCATCCTTTCCCGTCTGGTAACCATTTCTTCTTTTTGCCAGGTTCAAGCTTTATTACTTACATTCTTTGCATGTAAGTGTTTTTTAGGTATTTATATTGTACAGGTGAATGAAACCATCTGATATTTGGCTGATTTCCATCAACATAATCACCTTGAGGTCTATCCATTTTGTCCCAAATGTCACTATTTCTTCTTTCTTCACAGCTGTGTAATATTCCATTGAGTATCTGTTCTATATTCTATCTGTTCATCGGGGTGAAGGGTGCTTGGGTTTGTTCCATGATTTGGTGATAAGAATTTTAATATTATTTGGATAAATACTTCATAGGGTTATTGCTGGATCATATAGATTTTACATTTTCATTTTCTTGAAGAAATCCCCATACTGTTTTCCACAGTGACTGTACCAACTTGTATTCCCATCAACAGTGGATGAGAGTTCTTTTTCACTGTAACCTTCCTAACATTTGTTAATTCCATTCTTTTTTTAATAGCCCATTCTCACGGGGGTGAGGTAGTAATCTTAATATTGTTTTAATTTACATTTCTCTTATAAGTGATGTTGAACATTTTTTTCATGTCTGTAGACCATCTGAATGTTTTCTTCAGAAAAGTGCTTATTAAGGTCCTTTGCCCATTTTTAAATTGGGTCATTAATTTCTTTGTTGTTGAATTGTGTAAGAAATTTGTAAATTTGGTGGATTAATCCCTTGTCAGATTATGGCATGCAAATATTTTTTCCCATTTTGTTGGTTGCCTTTTTGTTTGGTTGTTGGTTTCTTTTGAGGTACAGAAGCTTTTAATTTTGATGTCATTCCATTTGTTTATTTTTGCTTTTGTTTCCCTTGCTCTTGTGGTTGTATTCCCAGATACATCTTTGTGGTAGATGTCTTGTAGTATGTCTCCTATATTTTCTTTCAAGTTCTTTATGGTTTTAGTTCTATGTCCAAATCTTTAATCCATTTTGCATTAGTTTTTGTGTATGGAGTTAAATGTGGGTCTTGCTTAATTTTTTTGCAAGTGATTATCCATGTTTGCCAGCACCATATATTAAAAAGGCTCTCTTTTTCTCCATGGTATGGCCATACCGCCTTTGTCAAAGATGAACTATTCATGTTTATATGGATTTACCTCTGAGATTTCAATTCTGTTCTGTCATTCTGATTTTCTATTGTTCCAGTACCATACTGTGTTATTTTTATAATTTATTTCTTTATTTATATCTTTTACATAATTGTATATTCCCTGTAAAATTCCCACCATCAGTTCACCCATGAACCATCACCATAGTTCCTTGTGCTCTTCTGTCCCCTGTTTTGATCCCTTTTCCAACCTCCTCCCTCACATAATGTCTCCTATTTATGGTTGCCTGCTAGTTTTGTTGTTTTATTATTATTATTATTTTTTCCATGATCAGGAAACATGATTAATTTCTAGTTTGATGCCTTTATGATCAGAGAAGATAGTATGATTTTGATCTTATTTCAGATTATATGACTACCAAGTAGCAGTACCAAAAACTTATGGATCATGTATATTTTCTACTAATCCCTTGTGTTTACTCTATAGTGTTCAAAGAGATTTTATATTTTTAGCCTCCTTGATCTTTTTTTTTTTTTTTTTTTTTAAAGATTTATTTTTATTTATTTATTTATACAAGCACTGGGTACAGTCAGAAGCGCAGGAGGGTGAGAGAATTCACCAGAGCCAGAGCGGGGAGCAGAGCAGGCAGAAGGACGGAAGTACACTGCTGAGGGGAGCAGCGGGCGGCAGGAGAGGTCTGCATGCCATGTGGGGCCCTCCTCCGGTGGCCAGGGAACAGCCGGGGATCGAACTGGCACTGCAGAGGCTGCAGGCAGCTTCGCAACCCAGCGCTCAACCGCTGCACCACCGGGGAGGCCCCTCCTTGATCTTTATACCATTTTTAGTAGATACCATTTTCATTTTACAGAAGTGGAAAATTTGGGTCAAGGAGGGTTAAGTGACTTTCTCAGTGTTACACAGCTGAGAAATTTTGCAACTATTCCTAGAGATTAAGTCTTTGAATCCTAGTCTAATGCTTAGACTACTATACCATATTACCTAAATGTTTAATAAACAGGAATACACATAAAGAAAGGTACACATTTATTTAAGGAACACATTAAAAAGCAGTGTTCATGGTTTACGTCTTCTGGAATTTGAGTAGATATCCACACATATAACTGTAGAAAGCATAGGGAAAAAATTTTTGCAACATACATAAGTATAATTGTGAAGAAATTTAAATTTGCCTTAACAAAAGAAAAGTAGGATACTGAGAAAGAGGAATATGTGCTTAGAAAAAATATAAACTGGAAAGTTTCCCTTTTTTCTTACGCTTTTTATCACATAGTGTAATAGATATAAACATATTGCAAATGAAAATTAAGGAAGATGCTGACTAGATGAAAATTATCTTTATTTTCTAATTGCTTTTGGTGTGGTCTCTATAGATTTGTAGTTTCTGTCATCGTTCATCTCATTCTTTTGCTCTGCATAATAGTTTAGAATGTAGAATGTAAAGACACATTTATGCAACAGTTTATAAAGTCAGTTAGGTAATATATATCTTTTTAATCTGTCTATATACAGAAAAATTTTCTCTCTACGAGTGACATAGATCCATCTACTCTGGGAGTTTCTCTTCCTATTGGTGAGAGGTTATCTGCCAAGGTAGGTGAATAGGAGTAGTTATTGTGGGTAGCGATTTTATGAGTCATCAAAACTATGAAAGAATATATTCTTGATTAAAGGAAAACAGAAGATAGCATTATTTCCTATATTTGAACTTATTTTAAAAATCTATGATCTGTTGTTTAAATTTTTTAACATTAAATTTGTAGCCATGCAATATGATAGACTTCTTTAATAGGTTGATTAATTGAATAGTCAGCATTTTTAATTTTTTCAGCATTGATTTCTGAGGTATAAAGTTTATGCTTTATACCTCTTATCAGTTATCAGTGAAATGAGTGCATGTGAAAGCATACTGGGCTGTGCTGTAGGGTGACAGTTTGGGTCTATCGGAATGTGTTTCTATTACTCTACAAATATATGTGCATACTTTTTAAGAGGTGGTAGTGATAAAGGATTGTGCACCTTTTGTAGAGATTCAGTTCCTAAGCTAGACCAGAGCTGATTACATAGTACATAAGACAAAATGATCAGTCAGTTTCAAAAGGTGATCTAGTTTGTTCAGTACTTTTTAAATTGTGCTGTTTCAATGATATTCGGGGTTAAGGACATTTCCTAATGTAATATATTTCTGTTTCAACAAAACATTTCCATTATAATATTTTAGTTCTATGATAATTTTATGTTTATGTTTAAAATATAGCAAGTATCCTTCTTTAAACTTGGGAAGCAATTGGTTAGCAGCAAGTCATTTGGGTGTGGGATAGGGAATTTTGTTTTCAGTACATGTCCCTGAAAGGAAATAAAGGAAGGTAGTCATCTGATCAAATCTTTGGAAATATGCATATGACAGTCCTCCTGACAAATACTTACATATATTTACTAGAAGTACATATTTATTTATGAATGCTTTCGGTAGAATGCTTCCAGATTTCCATGACTGCAACTGGTAAATAAATCTAGAATCCATGGATTTATGGGGCATAAATGGAAAAACTTTAAAAAACTAAGCTATGCATCTACTGGAGTATATACTGGAGATTTTTGATAACCTAATCAATTTCTTTCTGTTAGAAACCTCATGTGTTAATCTGGACCTGCGCATGTGGTAATGTCTATTCTAATGTCACGAAACAGAATGTGGGGAACTGCATATTCCTGATTTTCCTGTTCTTTGCAACTACTTCTATCCTTGAATTATTAATAAAACTTGATTCTGGGTAAGGCCTCTGATTTGGCATACATTTTCATGAAGTTTATTTAAGTAAACATTCACTTTTGATTTTTTCTTTCAAGGAAAGGTTGAAACTTGAACGCAACCAAGAATACAATCAGTTTCTCAGGGGTAAGGAAGAATCCAATGAAAAACTCAGACAGGTAGAAAAGAGTACTGAGGTAGGTTTTACTGTTAAAGTAAATCTTTAAAATCAGAGGCTAAATATCTTATACTTACAGGAAAACATTTTTGTAGTAGACATTGCACTTGGTTTTTATATAAATATTTTAAAAATTAAGCCAAACACAGGATATTTGATTATTTCATTTTTAAAAACATATTATCTCATATTGAAGAACTTACCCTGCATCCTAACTTTAATTTCATGGGGAGGATTGTATTTTTGGATTTCTTTTGTGTTCTTTTAAATACTGACAAAATGTAGTTATGTATATTATTTTTCAGATTTCAGGATAGTTGATGCTTCTCGACCCCCAATTTTGCCACTTTTTATATTCCTTATGTTGAGAAAGAAGTTCACTTGATATATTTTGAAGCAATATTTAACTGCCAACACATGCCTAATATTTCCTGGGATGGGAATTTGGACTTAGTTTATTCTTCCCTTTTATAGTCACTTTTGCATATTTCTGTTTACTTGTAATTTGATATTTAAGTTTTATTAAAGGATAAAATTTCCTTGAATTTTTTCCTGAAATAAGCTATTCCTTATAGGTGAGTAATCCTCAGAGTTGAGATGACAGACTAAGCATCATTTGATGGTTTAATGACCTTTCAAAAAAGGGTATTTTATTAAGATGTTTTTTCTTTTCTCTTTTTTAATTGAACAGAACAAGTATCAAAGAAATAAGAAACCTATCAGTCAAGTTAAGCCTGATTTATTTCCACAAGAACAAACATCTTTTGAAAATTTAGAGGGCCCTAGGAAAGCTGTCTTGACTCCTTCAGAGGCATATGAAGAGCTTCTAAACCAAAGGCGACTGGAGGAGGAAAGATATCGACAACTAGATGATGAGATTGAATTAAGGAATAGAAGAATCATTAAAAAAACTAATGAAGACGTGGGCATTTCGAATAAAAAACATCAAAGATATGCTAGCAAGGTTGATGTCCCAGATAGAAGATTACACAGGTTTAACGAGGATCGTGTTTTTGATAGACAGTATTATAGACCAGACCAAGATCCTGAAGTAAGTGAAGAGATGGACGAGAGGTTTAGATATGAAAGTGATTTTGATAGAAGACTTTTGAGAGTGTATACAAATGACAGGTATTTACACTTTTATTTTTCTTTTCTTTGTTTGATATTATTGTTCTTACTTTTTATCATTATATTAGGGATAAGCAGTTTTATTTGATTTACATGTTTGATTAATTCTAATATACTGTCAGTTTTAAGATGCTTTATTATTTTTTGTGACCTTAAGGGAACAAAGAAAATATCCAGGATAGGAAGAAAGGGACCCTATCATAAAGCTGAGATACTGAAAGATTACTAACTTTATGTAAAGTTAAATGGAAAATAAAACTTTCTACAGAAAGGAACAGTAAAGAAACTGTCATGTCTCAACTTTGGAATAGAATAGAGGGATTACAACAAAGCAAAGCAAAGCAAAACAAAACAAAACACTTCCCTGATGATTTGAGTTGTAAACTATTACTGGCTCAGGTTTTTAGTCTGATTAATGCTGCCAGTAGTGCCCAAAAAAGATCTTGAGGCAAGAATTCACAGTTGTACCAAACTCATAGTTTGGTACATAGTGACCTAGGGGAAAAATAACTCCTCTCTGCAATAAAATGACTTAAAACCAGACTATTGGCAATTCCAGTTTCAGGTGTCAAATGTGGAAAAAGAAGGATCCCTTAAAATAGATGAAATATTGTTTATTCCTTTCATATTCCTGTGCTTTTATCAATATATTTCTTTGTTTTTAAATTATTTATTGAATATTTAAGTAAAATTGTCCAAAGATTTTTTGGCCAGATACTCAGTTGCTTTTCAGTTCCTTTGTGGGATTATTTTTGTGACACTCTTATTTCTTTTTCTGTTCTTGGTTTGTTTTTATTTATTTGTTTAATTAAGGTAACAGTGGTTTATCACTGTATGTGATGTAGAGGTATAGAATCATATCTCCTAAACTACCAAGGCACCCATAGTCTTCCCCTTTGTCCGCTCAATCCCCTCTGTACTTTGCTCTCTACATTCTCTCATCCTTCTTGTGGCCTCAATTCTGCAGTCATATTTCTAGGGTATGTTTTTGTTTTAATTTTGTCTGATCTTTGCTTTCTTTCTCTATATTCCACATATAAGTAAAACCACCGGGTATTTGTCTTTCTCCTTCTGACAGCATACTTCCCTCCAGTTCCATCCACATTGTCACAAATGACAAGAGTTCATCTTTTTAAATAGCTGCATAGTATTCCATTATGTGTATGTACCACATCTTAGTCCACTCATCTGTCTTTGGACATTAGGTTGCTTCTATTACTTGATTATTTGTAAATATTTTGCAGTGAACACAGGAGTGCATATTTACCTTCAAATTAGTGTTTTTGCATTCTTTTTTTTTTTTTTTAAAGATTTATTTATGCATACAAGAGCTGGGGCACAGGCCAGAGATGTGGGGGTGGTGAGAGGATTCACTAGAGACAGTGGGGAACAAAACAGGCAGACTAACTGAAATACACTGCTGAAGGGAGCAACGGGTGAGACAGGAGAGGTCTGCTTTGCCATGTGGGTTGCTCCCTGGCAGGCCAGGTGTTGAACTCTTGCTGCAGAGGCTTCGGATTGCTTCATCATGCGGTGCTTAACCCTTTGCGCCACCAGGGATGCCCTACATAACCAGGTATTCTTTTAGCCTAATGGATTTTACGTTTAGTTATTTCCCTAGGTTTGAGATGCTTTCTCCTATTATTCCTGGAATAAGTTCTCCATTTCTTTCTCTCTTCCCCGCTGGATACTCCTAACTGTTATATTGCCTTTCTTCATGGAGTTGGATAGTTCTCAAAGTGTTTTTTCATATTTTCCTTTTTTCTGCCTGGGCCCTTTGTACATTATTATCTTCAAGGTCAGTGATTTGATCGTCCATTTGCTCTATTCAGCTTTCATATTTCCCTAGAAAATTTCAATATCCTATATTGATGGTTTTGCATTTTCTTATTTAAGCTTCAATTTCATTTTCTTTTTACTAATTTTATTTCTCATGATATTAATTTGTTTTTCTGAATTTTGTTGTATATCTTTGATTACCTTTTCGGTGTTCTTTTGTATCATTTTGACTTGCCTTTCTGTGTCATCTTCCTTTTCTTTGATTTTCTTTATCATGGAAATTTTGAGCTTTGTATCTGATAGGAATATAAAATCTTCCATGTCTTTTTTTTTTTTTTAAAGATTTATTTATTCATCTATACAAGCACTGGGTACAGTCAGAAGCATGGGAGGGTGAGAGAACTCACCAGAGCCAGAGCGGGAAACAGAACAGGCAGACTGATGAAATACACTGCTGAGGGGAGCAGCAGGCGGCAGGAGAGGTCTGCGCACGTGTGGGACCCTCGCCGGTGGCAGGGGATTGAACTGGCGCCGCAGAGGCTGCAGGCAGCTTTGCAATCCAGCGCCCAACCACTGCGCCACTGGGGAGGCCCTAAAATCTTTCATGTCTTTATGTAGTTGAGTTCTTGAGAGTTATTGTCTTCTGGTGATGACATATCTCTTGAGTTGTGTATTGTGGTTATTTTTGGCAGCACATTTTTCTTTAGATTTTCCTAGTGTTTTTTTTTTTTTTAATCTTCAATAGTTGTTTAGAGATTTGAACTACTTCTAACATTCCAGTTGTATTTTTAAATATAATTCTACAGGTTTGGCTTTTTTGGTCTTCCATGATCTGGAAACCTGCTCTCATATCTGTTGGCTTAGGGAATATTGGAGGTTCCTAGAGGAGTCTAGCTAGTGGTGTGAAATTTCTGGGAGGTGTAGGGGACAGCCTTGTGTTTCTGGTACCACTGATAACCCATCTCTCTGGAGTTCTAGACTTAAGACGGCTGTCAGTGTATGTTTTCAATGCACTTTCAGGTCATTACCATTCTGATGCATTGTAGAGGGGAAGCACATCCCTGATCACTATGTTTTTTCTTTTATTGGGGACCAAGGCTTGCTGGGAGCACCCCAACTCTTCTGCATGCATCTCTCTTGGTAAGGGATGTGTGCCTTTATACCATTCAGCTCTCCTCTCCCCAAGGTTGCTGGCACAATTACTGACCATTTGGGAGTGCTGCAGTTGTACTGCATCCTCCCACCCTGGGCCATAGCTTCAAGGGGTCTCTACCCATCTCTGTTCACTGAACCATGAATCTCCACCATGTTCATTTTAGTGTCATCTGCCTTGTCTCTGATGTTCCAGAAGTGTTCCAGTTTTCCCATCCCAAGGAATTCCTTGGTGTTGTATTCCATGGGTTAACCTAGATGACCTTTTGGAAACAAAGTAAGGAAACTGATCTGACACCATCTTGGATCTGCCTTGTCATTAGGTTAGGTCTTAGGTGCTGTTATGAGTTCTTATTTCATCATTTATTGTAATTACTAAAATGCTGTGTTTTAGCCTCATTTTTAATTTATAGATAGAAATATTGTAGGATTCCATATTTGTCATTGACTTGTTAACTTGGAAGGATTAAATCTAAATATTGTTCAGTTTATGGGATCTGTTTCATTTTTTAGTACAAATAGGATACTTTTTAGTATTTTAGAAACTTTCTGAGATATAATGTTGCACATTCTCAGAACTAATAATTCAGTGCCTTTGTAGTTATTTATCTTCTACTGTATTCTGTAGCTGTTATATTCTGCTAGCCCTATCTTTTCAGTATTCAATCTGGTATAAGGGATTAGAATTTTGCAATGTCAATTATAGTTTGTGATCTGACTCTAGTGGTTTATATTTCTGAAAATGCTCCAAATTCTATAATGTGTTATATTTGAAAATGTTTATTCCTGAAGTTAGTCAAAGGCTGTCTTAACTAAAGGACAATTGTGGAATTGTCTCTCAACTGGGGAATGTAGGATCTTGGACTCTTAGAGCTGCTTCATAATTGAGAAAATTTTTTCTTTATAGTGTGTTGCCTTTAGAATGTAATGTAATGCATACTTTTTAATGGAATTTCAAGAAACATTATGGTTGTTGGTTTTAAAAAGCTTTATTTTAATGTATTATTACATGGATTAACAACTGTATTTCATCCTAATTATATAAGCACTATATTACTTTCATATGTATTCCATAATCAGAATGAACTCATGGTATTTAATCTTCTCCTAAGCATTATTTAACAATAGAGTAAACTTGAAAATGAGTAAGATTAATTTCTCATGTACATTTTAAAGTTTTAAGAATCATTTCTTCAAAATGTGTCATTATATGTTACTTTCATTTTGTTAATGCATAATCTTCTGTAATTTTAAAGTTTTCCACGTATGTCTTTATATTAGTTGAAGTTAAAAGGAATTTTCAGATTTCAGATTTGTGGATTCTTTATTTCCAGCCAAAAAAAAAATATTTTACATTGATTACTCAGTGGTTTTTATTTAATATATTTAATAGGTAGTTTGGTTATAGCAAAAAAGACCACATGTTAGTGAAGTTTTTGAGACTAAAGAAATGTGTAGCTGCATTTGGCCTCTTGCTGCAGCCATTTTTTTCTTAATACTCTATATATAAACTTAACCAGAAGTTCTTGACATAAAATATTTGTAATTGTGAGAAGTGCAAAATTAATTTCATGTTTCCCTTGGTTTCCTTCTTGTAAAAGTTAGTATGTGATCAGTTCTAGTTTTGAATTTTAATACTTCTTGATTTTTATGTTTTTGGTCTCAATTCTTTTGTAATGACTCTCTATAACCTTTACCATATATCATAAAGTATTAATAAAATTCTCTCCTCACTTTATTTTTTTAATGATTAATAGAAGATTTATTTAAGTAATAATATAGTCATCATTATCAGACTTAATATGAGATGCTCTATCCAGTTTTCCTTTTCTGTTTCTGTTGGTTTTGAAAATACAATACCAGAAGCAGGGGGGCCCAATTGCAAACAGGGCTCTTACAGTGAGGTATTGGGAGTGGTTCTGGAAAATGGAGTAGACATTTGCTGATCTTGTATAGGTCCAATGTGTCAAGGCAACATTTTCTTCCTTCCTTCCTCTGTCCCCCACCCTCCCCCTTCCCCCTCCCCCCCACCCCTCCCTCCCCCCACCTCTTATCAGAAGCACATGAGG